CGGCAGCAGAGGCGGCGTCGGCGGCAGCGGCTGCGTGCCCAGCGGAGCGGGCTCCAGCTCCGGGGGCGTGCATTCCTCCGGTAGCAGTGGCTACAAGTCGTCCAGCGGCAGCAGCAGTATCCGCTTCTCCCAGACCACCAGCTCGAGCCAGCACGGCTTCAAGTGATGCCCTGGGGCCACATCTCCAGCCCTCCTGCTTCCCCTTCGGCTGCTTCCGCTCTCCCTGGCCTCAACACACCTCCACTTGCTTTCCTTCAAGTTCCCTGGAGAAGGAGCTTCTCCACTGCAAGCCCCTTCTTGAGTCAGGGACCTCCAGCTGCAAGTCCGGCCGCTGCTGCCCCTGGGTGAGCCCCGGCCATGGCCGCCGACTCTGGACAGAATGCTGCCACCCCACCAGCGTGGCACCCACCAGCGTGGCAGCCCAGCTCGAGCTGTTCCCACTCTGGGCCAGCTCTCTCACTAGGAGTGATGGTCTGAAGCTGGCACCTCTAGGTCTGAGCCCTGAGGAGGCCGTGGGGGGCCCAGTGTGGGCGGGGGAGGACTCTGGCCTGGCGGTCGCCGGGATTCCTGCCCCACAGGTGGGTGCCATCTCCTGACTTGCCTGCCTTCTTCACTCCCCGAGCTATGGATCCTCTGGTGATGACTATTACACTTCTTCAATAAATTGCTTGTATCTCACATGCTGGTGTTTGGCTTTCACTCAAGGAGTCAGAGGGCCAAGGCGGTGGGGTGCTGGGGAGGGGGGTGGTCTTCCAGGAGCTCAGGAGGACACTGGACAGTCTTGGCTTTTCCTTTATCCATTGTTTGGCTTTTTGTCATAGGTCTGTCCGAGAATATTGATGATGTTTGAGTGGGACCTTCCTTACTTCAGCTTGTTCCATCCAGCCTCCTGGAGCAGGCCTCCAGGGTCCAGGCTTAGCAGAAAAGGCTTCTGCAGCTCATCGAGGGAAGAGATTCCACTGGGTCTTTGGTGCCTTGGCTGTATCCCACGTCAGCCAGAGCAAACTCTCTTCCCACACATACAGTTCCTGCAGTCGGAGGGGTCAAAACCCTCCTTTCTCTGCCAGGTGCTGCTCCAGTTAAAAAATACTACAAAGGCCTGGGTCTTTTGCCAGTTATGACAAATGTGGCAAAACAGAGCTCCCCCCGGGCTTAACCAGGCAGGTACTGGAGGAGGTGGCTTCCGGGCGAACGCAGAGCTGGGTCGAGTCGGTTTCCTGTTCACAGGACCTTGGACACAGGCCAGCTTGCCCAGGCGGGCTGAGGCAGCAAAGGCTTCTGTCAGGGCTTCTGGGGGTGGTGGGGGTGATGGTGGTTGTCAGTCCCCTCCCGGTAGAAAGCAGCCAGGCCCTAAGAGAGTGGGGACGAATACATGCACAGTCTTCACTCCAAGCAAACCAGGATGGTGAGGGTGGGCGCCATCCCTGGCGAAGCTCCTTCCAGGTGATGTAGAGTTAGGAATGTGGAAGATGCAGGACCTTCTCCTCTATCCGAATTTCACCAGAAAGCGTAACTCTGCACCTGGGGGCCAGGGCAGCTGCTGGGGGAAACTGAGGGCTTCGATGCAGATGACGATTAAGAATTGTCATCTTTCCTGCTCCACACCCCCAAACCCACCCAGCTGCACACCCTTGAGCATGGTCAGATTCTGGCTCATAAATCACGGTGGATAATGCGCCTTCTCAGGAGTCATTAGAGCTGGACGAATAAGGAGGCATCTGTACTTCTAAGTGATGGCTCAAGGAGAGGGCCAGGACATGGCCGCCAGAGTTCTGAGCTCAAGAGGGCATGAAGCTTTTGCCATCTGCTCTACCAACAGCAGCCCTGCCCCAAGCTTAGAGAGACTTGAAATACTTCTTATTGCAGTAACCTTGGTTTGTAACTTTATGCTTTTCAGGCATATAGTCTTCCAGATCAGCACTTCGTTCTGCTCAACCCTGAAAGTCTACTTTCTGCCCATCATCACACAATGAACCCCTTGTCCCATCTATCCACCCCTTCCCTTCTGATAACCATGATTTGTTCTTACAATGGAAATGCTTTGTGGGTTCACTTGTTTTTTTTTTTTTTTTTACCTACCACATGAAATCCCATGGTATTTGTCTTTCCCTAACTTATTTTACTTAGTATAACACCCTCTTGATCCATCTCTGTCATTGGTCAGTCTCTGTTACTACGGACAGCAGTTTCATCTTTCCTTTTATCAGCAGAGTAGTATTCCTTTGCGAACATGTACCACATCATCTTTATCCATCAACAGGCAGCTAGATTGTTTCCAACTGTTGCCTATTGTAGATAATGCTGCGACAAACACCGGGGTACATGCATCTCTTTGGATTAGTGTTTTTGTCTTCTTCAGACAACTACCCAGCAGTGGGGTCATGTGATATTTTTATTGTTCCTATTTTGAGGAATCTTCATACAGTAAAGCATGAATGGTTGCACCAATTTACATTCCCAACTGTGTGTGAGGTTTCTGCTTTCTTTGCATCCTCCCCGACACTAGTTGTTTCTGCTGTTTGGATGATAGCTGTGGAAGAGACATTTTGAAGTTTCTACAGCTGAGAATTCAATAAATTCTTGCTCATTTTTTCAAGGCTTAACGGTGAAAGGCAGTCCTACTCTCTCACTAAAGCTATGTACAGTTTGGGTATTTTGGAAGCAGAACAGGCTGGCAGCAGAACAGAACTGGCCTTTTAGACACATTACAAGAAATGGCAAGAATCTCTAGAGCAGCATCCTGGTCCATGTGTTGCTTGAATTACTGGGAAGAGTCTGACTGTCATGGATAAAGCCAGCTTCTAGCTAGACCCAAATGCTGCTGCTTCAGTCTCTTTATCCACCTGCTCCATGTGGGGAGAGCTACCTCAGGGTTGTGCAGTGTGCAGAGGACTCGTGAAAGTTTGCTGGCCACTTGAAAGAATGACTAGAGCAAATACGGAGAGAAGGACTGCCTGCCCTCCACCTGACAGTAAGATTCTAGGTCACTCTCTAAGACAGGATGGAGCTGAAGATTGATGATGGGACCCAGAACCCTTCTGTGAGGAGAGATGGTGGAGGGTCTACTGCAGGAGGCAGAGAGATGGAAGGATACTTGGGCTTGGGAGAGGGGGTCCATCAAACCATGTTGGAGAGGAAGCCTGGAGCAGGCTGGGGAAGGAAAGAGCTTGGGAAACATGGAGGAGAGTCAAAGTGACAGAAAGACCAAACCCCAGGACCATCCTAGGACATTGGGGCTCCATGGCAGAGGCCAGGCTAAGGGCTGGAGACAAGGGGGCATTTCTAAGTCTATGGGAGACTGGGAATCCTGAGCTTTGATGACTAGAGGAGGCAGTGTTTTGGCACTCCCAAGTAGTCAAAACCCTACACAAATAAGCCAGAGTTAGAAAGACTGGAATTTACCCAAGCAACATTGCCGTGAGCACACAGAGACGCAGTCTGGCTGTGGTATTTGACACAGGGAGTTTGTAATGGCGTTGCTCAGGGGACAGGGGACATGTGTGCTGGGGGGAGGGGCTCTCCAGGTGGAATGCTTGATGCAGTCTTGCCCCAGAGCGGTGTGACTCTCAGAAGAAAGTGTCTTCTTGGCAGGAGCACCGGGGGCTACTGAGTGGAAGAAAGTGCTTTTTAGGAAGGTCAGATGACTTAGCTTTTCGACCATTTTGTTACGACCTAGCATTCACAAGAGTTACAGAACAGTGTTTCTAAGACACAGCCTTCCATCATCACAAGCAGAAGTCTCTCCTGACCTACTGGGCTCAAGGTGTCCAGAAGGCACCGCAGCCTGGAGGCGGGGGCTCTCGCCGGGGCTCTACTGGGAACTTGGCATAGAAGATGATTTGCACAACGCAGTCACCACTAAACCAGTGCTTAAGTCCAGTCCTCGGCCTTCTTTTTCTGCTTTGTAGTCCAGAAACATCTCCTTAAATGCCAGAAAGTCCGTAAATGTGAGTAACATGTCGAATATGTCATCAGTCACTTCATCTTTCCGGTACCTTAACGTAGTTGTGAAGGCCGCCATGTTGAATCCGGGAATCCGCCTCAGCAGCTGTTCCTCGATATACCTTTCAACTAGAGAAAGGTACTCATGAAAAATTGGCATGTAGCTGAATTTATTCTCTTCCGTGTCTTCAAATTCTTGGTAATATCTGTCCATGAAATTTCTCTGCAGTACCTGGAACTCGGTAACCATGATAATGTCCTCGATAGATCCAATCACGGCATCAAATTCGGCTTCAGAGGCAGAAGATACGGAAAGCGCGAGGCTCTCTTCCTCCACGACCACCTGTACTTGCCCCTTGCCCATGCTGCCCTGCTGAGCTGTCCCGCAGCCTCCCAGCAGCCTGGGGCTGGGTTGGCACTTGCGCCCCATTACCTGCGTCCGGGAGCCCCGCCCCGCCGCACACAGCGTCACCATGGCGAGGGCGTCATTCTTAATGACTGCACAATATTCCTCTTGGTGGATGTGGCACATTTTGAAATCTACTATTCCTGCTCTCCCCACCCTAGTCAGCTGTTGCTGCTGTGAACACATGTCTCGGAATGTGTCCTCGGCATTCCTTTAAGATAACTTCCCTAGGTGTGAAATTGCTCAGCCACTGAGACTGGCAAATGGTTTTATACAGTCAACCGTGGTCAAGAAAGATTATACCAATGGATACTTAGAGAAGTGGTGGAGATGACTTCCTCTTTCTCCAGTCTTACGAATACTTTGCGGTATTCTTGTACAATGTGGACAAGTTTTTAATATGGAGTTCTTGATGAAAGGACTATTTTGTTTAGTTTGATGACAATTTGCAGCCCCTCCCCTAGGCCCCTGGAGACGCCAAGACAGGCACGCACGTTGGCGTGAGAGGGCTAAGAAGGTGTGAGAGGATGGAGTGGGGGGGTGGCGTGGGTCAAGGCCTTCTAATCATCAGTCTTTTCTCCCACCCAGGCATGATCTGCATTTCCTGTACACTTAAGATGGGCTTTGGCACACGTGGTGTCTTTAGCAGAGAGGGAAGCCACCCCCTAACGGCTGTAGGTTTAGACAATCTGTCTTTCAACACTCCAACCTGAGCTTAGGGTAAGAGATGATGTGATGGGAAGAGTGTCCAGCGTGATGATGGAGGTAGTTATTGGTACCCACCCAGAGGGGCCGTGCCAGAGCATGAGAAGGTGGAC